TTCACATTGCACCTTTACGATCCTTACTAGATTCTTAAGTTTCTTCTAGCTAATACACTTTTTATCTACTTAAAACTATTGTCTAATTGGTTGTCAGGGGAAATTTTCAAAACTTCATCAAAACACTAGCAAACTGATATTGAAAGAGTGGAAAAAAATACCAAAGGTACATTCAAACTCATAAAATTTCTTCAGAGGTCAGACTTGACATTTTCTGAGGTTGAAGACTAGATAACAGACAAAAAAGATTTTTTTTTAAAAATCTTAAGACCAAAAAGTAAAGTCGGTCTTCAAGGGTTTTTCGCAATATATTAAGGAAGTGTCAGTAAAATGTGTGCCCGACTTTTGTTCTTGTAATTTTCATGAATTTATGTCATGGCGTTGTCAGAGTTTCGTCCACTTTTAGGTTTAAATGTCCCGAGATATCTTTCGCCTCATTTTTCCACTTCTTTTGTTTATTTTAAAATTCAAAAGAAAGGGTCAAACATCTGCCATTAATACCTAATTGTCCGAATAAAATTTGAAATATACATAGTTTATTTCCGATTTTGTATTGTATAGCCGCTGTTATGATGAACATTAGCGTAAACAATTCTTTAAGGCGAAATTCCATGAGTTCGGAGGGATAAGGTGAGTTGTTAAAATGCAGTTATTTATATAGTAAAGTATGATACTTTTTAGGAATAAAAAGTGAGTTTTGGTGTGTTATCCAAAAAGTGGTATTAATAAGGATTTATCTTCAAAAATGTATCTGTGTAATGAATTAGTTGGTGTTCGATTTAATTGTTTAAAATCAAAGTGTTATTTATTTTCAACCTTAATGTTAATAATTCTTGTTGAGGCAATAAAACATATGCACTTAAAACGCTTTTGATCTAAAATCGCTTCTTAATAACGTCCTTGTTATACTGTTGCTTCCTGTAATATAACATCATGTACTTAAAGGCATTTTTCTTCTTCTATTGTAAATCTTCCTAAAATACATGAGATGATATCTGCATGAAATGCACTAAATATATAATTAAATGTCAATCCGTTTATACAGAGCTAAATTAGTGGCGACAGTAATTTACCGATGTTCAAATCTCTTAAATCGATTAGGAAGAGACAAATCAGGTAACAAACAAAAACTGAGGGAATCGAATGAACTAAAAAAGGAGCGAAGCCGGGTTCATAAACAGGCTAAGCGTCTCCTAATATGTATGCATCCCCCGCCTTGCTAATTTATAGTCAGTCAAAATAACACAATCGAGAATATGATACAATAGGTAAAATGACAGATCAGACGACTAAACTGGTATTTAAAGATATAAGAACGCAAAAACATGTCGCTAGTGAGTTCAGACAACGAAACATAGTAACGGTCAATTAATTCCTGGAATGGTGACCGTAAAAGATATGCAGTATCAATTTCAATCGTTCCTCCTCATACTTCAGTTGGCGCAGTGTATGTGTAAGGAAAAAGTAAAATAACAAAAATACCTAACTCCAAGGAAAATTCAAAACGGGAAGTCCTTCAACAAATGGCAAAATCAAAAGCTCAAACACATCAAACGAATGGAAAACAAATGTCATATTCCTGACTTGGTACAGACATTTCCTTATGTAGAAAATGGTTGATTAAACCTGGTTTGATAGCTGACTAAACCTCTCACATGTATGAAAGAACACGCCTTTGAATGAAGTCCGTATATTATGAAAATACACGAGCGTAACGTATTAACTGAGATATGTTTACGCAATACAATGGAACAGAGGGTATGCTACTGCTGAAAAATGTGATGTTGACAATTAGAAAGATGAAATAATCACGTTTGTCATAGATTCTAGATTAAGGTCGTCCATCTGTGTAAATATAGAGGAAACAAAATCGATATATGTAGCAGACCTTCTACTTTCGGTAATATCCTTATTCTCAAGTTTACAAAGATATATGAGATAAGCACTCATTAAAATTTGGGTTATTGACTAACAGATCATCATCAATTTATATGAAAGTGTATTGAAAAAATAACTAGATGCTTTTTCTGTTTGTCTTTGAGAAGGTTCGGTGTGAATCCTGCTCTATACGAAAATAACAAGAAGTCGGCGAGTGCACTATTAATACCCGTTGGATGACCGACTGTCTACCGAAATACCAATCCATGTAACTCAACAAATATGTGGTTGATAAAAATGTCCAGCATTTTGAAGATATAATATACGGTATATTTGTTTTTAGAATCAGTGTTGTTCTTCAAAAAGTAAGATTTGTCATGACATAAAACAAGGAATTTGTATCTACATTTCCAATTTTTTGAGAAAATGCTCTGTTTAATGAGACGATCTTTCAATTTAGCATAGAGAATATTAGTGTAAAGCGTAACACAATGAACTGCATAACTGTAAAGTTTGTAATTGCTGATTTTGGAGTAGACCTTTAAAACTTTTAAGAAACCACATCTCGTTGACACTGCTGTTGAATATACCTACTCACAATGTTTCTACATGCAATCTTTTACTGTATAGAAATGTTTTAAGAACTTTAGAAAGATATTTAGTCGAACATCTTGACGACCTGGCTATATTTCGTTCTCTATAAGAATGTCTGCGTTGATTTTTGGCTAGCAATAAAACCAGGTTTAACCCACCATATTTTCTTAACATGTCCTGTACCAAGCCAGGAATATGGCAGGTGTCATCAAATAGTCCGTTTCTATGTAATTTTGGCGTTTGTTTTTGTTGCATTTCAGTGTTTCTGTTGTTCCGTTGTTTTCCTCTTATAGTTGATGTGTTTCCCTCGGTTTTAGTTTGTAACCCGGATTTGTTTTCTCTTAATCGATTTATGACTTTTGAACAGCGATATACTACTTTTGCACTTTTGCCTTTATTTATGTTAATACCAAAAGGTAGAAGGACGGATTTTTGAGTTCTTAAATTTGCTCTTTCGTGAATGATGTAGGGGTGAATGTGGGATTCCCAATTTTGCTGTTAATTCCAAGTTCTTCAGTGAGACATTCCACAAAAGGTTTTTGCATATACACAATATTTTGTTAACTCTTACTGCCAACCAGCCTGATCAATTGCTTCTTAACAAAATAATATGTAATATTTTGCCAATACAATATACATGTACAGAAAAAAAATATATTACCAATAGCAAAACAGCTTATGTGTGGCTTTTCATTGACTGCTTAATAAACAAGAGTCTGTAAAGAGCCTGTGTCGCTCACCTTGGTCTATATGCATATTCAACAAAGGACACTCTCCAACATTGTAGACGAGAATGGAATTCATGACAAAAATCTCTGTTTTGTTGATCTTGTTTTGCAGAACATTTAGTTTTTTAAGTTTCTCTCTATCTTCTTTTGCTCAAAACACAAAAGTGAGTAAAATAAATCCTCATTTAAGGGCAATCAATCCTATTAAGAGTGACAGTCTACTAACTATATCGGCAAAATTTGACTTGTTAGTAGATTTTGCCTTACTGATCATTTTTGTATTTAAAGTGTCTATTTATCTTTTATAATTTTTATTTTAAAAGGCAAAACTAATAAAAAATATGGTAAAAATCGTCATTAAAGGACAATCACCTCAATAAAGAGTTGTCAGACGATTTCCTCCACTTGTCTAAATTGTAGATCTTGCCTTGCTGATCAGTTTTGCTTAATTAAGTTTGTATTTATCTATTATAATTTTTAAGATAGAAGGGAAAAACGCAAAACAAATAATGGTAAAAATCGTCATCAAAGGGCAATAACTCTAATAAGTATTCGACTGACGATTTCGACCATTCAATTTATATATCCTGCTGATCATTTTTGCTTTTTAAAGTTTTTCTCTATCTATAAAAGTTTTCAGGATAATGGGCAAAAATGAAAAAAAAAGTTAAAATTTGTCATTAAAGGGCAATAACTCCTATAAGAAGTCGTTTGACAGTTTTGACGTATATAGAGAATTGGAAGAGATCAATATTTTAAACATTCTACTCCAGTCAGATTTTCTCTCTTTATCACGATTTTCAAAATAATAGAAAAATAACCCAGTTATGTTCAAGTCAGTCGGTGTTCAAAAAAATTTATCATAGACACATGTCGTTTAATTGCGTTAAAACTAATAACAATGTATTATAGTTAAATTTTAACAACATTTATTACGTGTTGCTCAGTCTTTAGTTTTCTTTTTTTGTGTTTTGTTTGTCTTTTTGTCGTTTTTTGTTTTTGGCCATGACAATGTCAGTTTATTTTCGACGTATGAGTTTGGGTATCCTTTTGGTATCCCTTTGGTATCCTTTGGCCATGGCGTTGTCAGTTTGTTATCGATCTATGAGTTTGACTATCCCTCTGGTATCTTTCGTCCCTCTTTTGCCTCTCTTTTAGATATGAACGCCTTCACACATGCATATTTGTCGAATCAAATGTCTTTTAGTGTGTGAAATGCAGAGGTTAAATTTCATTTGTTTACAATTATAAGAATAACTGTGGATACATTATATTTCATGGAAAACTAATGTTCGTGGATTTCGTGGATAAAGGTGTATCAGTGAATTAAAATGTTCAAATATTCTATGAGCTTTGTCACAGACTTAAGCAATACCGCGAAATAAAAAATACCATTTTACCTCAATCCACTAAAATTGGTACCCACGACAATGAATCAATCCATATCACTAATATTCAGAGAGTTGATACCTAAAACAGTGTGTGTCTAATAGAAAACCCTGGAAGCATGTATGCCGAAAATAATAAAAAAGTCATCTGTTGCACTGCTGAAAAAATCCGTATTTTTCTACTGATGGATTTTGCTGCCGTGGAAAATAAGATAGATGTCAATGTCTCTCTAATATTTGTTTTGTAATGAAAATACAAAAAAGTGGTGAAAGCTATAACAAATGAACCAAGAAGGAAACACATGCTTGAGTTGACTGACACATAGCAATATATTCAACAGAGTCTCTTTTATGATTGAATTTATTATATCATGATTGTCAAAATGTTATATTTTCATGTTTATAAGGACTGTCTTTAAGCAGTAAATCAACACTGATCAACCTAACGACAGCAGTTTTCAATGACTATGATCCATCAATTAGACCTTACTGTCAGGGACATGAACAAGTAAATGTAACAATGGACTTGGCTGTACGACAGTTAATCGATATGGTAAGGTCTGAAAAAAAAATCAGAACTATAATGCTTGATAATACATGTATCGTACAAATTGACAAATGTAATTTATATTGATAGATTTGAATACTTACAAACAAGTTAGCTGACTTTAAATCATTCTGTAACATGTGTGATAAAATAAAAAAAAGTATTTCATTAAAGAAATATTTTGTTAACATTCTACTGGAAGGATTACAAAATATGATCCACGAAAAGAATGTCGAAATATGGTAAATTAAGTTAACTACATTTGAAAAGTTACCGTAACAAGAGATAGAAGATAATAAGAAGGCGACAACAAATACCATAAGTCCAAGATAAACCGACATCAAAATTGCCAATCTGAAAAATCATCTAAAAAAGGATTATGAACAGTCCACAAAAACTACACAGACAACTAAAGATTGAGGAACAAGAATACCACAAAAAAACAGGGGAAAGACTCAGGTGCTTAGGAAGGGTAACCAGTTCAGGTTCAATTAGTGACATCCGTTATGTTGATGATTGGAAGTGAAAATTCGCTGATAAGTAGCATGATCCAGTGCAATATAAAACATATTTTTGATTTGTGAACGTATACATTGATCAGCTGTAATTTTTAGTAAGTTATTTGATTTTTTTTTCATTCACAGAATGAACCTGACCAAATAATAAAGCTTAATCTTTGGATTCGACTTGTAAGTTTAACATTACATCATGTGCTCTAGTATGTCACAATGTCACGTTTAAAGCTTGTCTCGGATCACCAAGTCACTTTTTAGCAAATTTAATAAAAAAAACGGGAAAGAACATTAAAAATTTGCAAAACATTCATATAGAATTTGTGTACCATTTGAATATGACGTTAGGTCGCAAGGTCGCCCGCCAAAAACCCCAAGATTGCAGGTCGGACTTGACTATGTTGGTGCCACCATTGTAATACAACAACCACTATTATAACCACAACTACCAAATTTTAAAATTTTAATGCCGAATTTTAAATAGAAGCTACAAAATATACATCTTAAATGCATCTTGTGCTTTTTAGACTGTAGACGAAATTGTAAATCAAACACCAATTCCGTGATGGTTTACCAAATTATATTTTTCTGATAAATTACACTAGCAGAGCAAACAAAGGCAACAGTAGTATACCGCTTTTCAATAGTCATAAATTGATTGCGCGAAAACAAATCCCGATTACAAACTAAAACCGATGGAATTCGAACACATCAACTTTAAGAGGAAAACAAAGGAAAAACAGAAACACTGCAACAAAAACAAACGCCAACATACATAGAAACGAACTATTTGATAAAAACTGCAAAGCAGTAAGAAAATAAAAAATAAAGGCACAGAGTAAACGCTCATGATATTTATTGCAGTGAATATGATTAACACAACATTCTTCAAGTTGAAAATAAAGATTTTGTTTATTTAAGCGTTGGATTGATTGTTTGCTGACATGGAATCCCAGCGATTACGATAATATAACAGATTTAATTGTGCCATTTGACAAGGTTTGGACACCTGACATAACTATATATGATAGGTAATGATTTTACTTCAAAATCTTTTTGTCGTATTATGATAAACTATGTGTGTTGATGTCATTTTTTGAGCTAGTTGGAAAGGCGCAGACAGCTTTGAATATGGTGAATGTTGTTCCGGAGCGAACGTTTTGGTTCCCAGGGGAAATGTTCCGAGGCATAAAAACACATCTTTACCAAACTTCGTTTGATAATTATGATGGAAAGGGAGGGGGAAGCATCATTGTTTTTGTGGTTACCAAGTCAAAGGGTAAATGCCACAGCAGCTATTCATATACTGAATCAAAATTTTGCTTTGAAGGTGATATCTGATAAACCATAAACATGTATTCCTTTTTTGACCAAATATGTTTTGATTATGTCTTAAAGGATGAAACAATTTGAGGTTACATCAGCAATTAATAGATTTGATGCTTTTGTAAATTTATTGATATCAAATTGCAGGGATGTGGTAAAGTCGGCTAAATATGGTTCCGGTTTGAAAAATAGGGAACAATTCAAGGCAACAGTAGCATACCGCTGTTCAAACGAGAAAAACTAACGGCCTAATTAATAGCAAAACAATTTACGAAAAACAAATATGACAGACATGAACCTACTACAACCATTGAACTACAGGCATCTGACTTGGGATAGGCACATACGGAATATGGCGGGGTTAAACATGTTTGTAAGTGCTCAACCTTTCTTTAACCTGGAACATTGTTGTAACAACTCAACATTAGAACAAACTGTAAAAATCAGTTGTAATTGGCCAAACTCAAAATATGATATGTTTATTCTAAAGATATGATCTCCTAAAAGTAGTACTGCTTAAATTACCAGTATGATCAATCAACAACATGGAATTAACTTAAATTAAGTTATAGTTAGTTTCTGTAACTTGTTAATAATACTTTGCACATGTGTTATTTAACATGCTTAAGGTGCTGGTGTAAAATAATAGAATCTTTACAGAGAATAGCACTCAAGTGTACTAAGAGTCGTATTGAACGTAATATAAAAGAGTTTGCTGTGTGTTAAAGGACTGAGTATGATAAATATTGCTTTTACTTTCAGTGTTGTCAAGTGCATTTTGAGATTTTGTCTCATTAATTTAATCACCATATCTATTTTTTCCGTTATGGTATTTATTAACAAGCTGATTATTAATTTTGTGTTTAAAGATATCAAATTAAATAGCCCACTTCCCTCTTCCTCCCATCAAATTATATGTCATGTTTGAAAGAAGTTAAACGTAAGTTTATTTAGATCGTCAACCTTTATAAAAAATTATTCATCGATCAAACATCTATGCCCGCACTAAAATTTCAATTTAATTATTATCAGCTACGTCAAAAGAGGCTAAAAATTCAAACTCATAGGTCGAAAATAAACTGACAACGCCATGGCTAAAAGAAAAGGACCAAGAGAAAAAAAAGCTGTTTGCAAAACAAAACAAAGAAAACCAAAGACTGACCAAGAAGAACCCAACCAAAACAAAAAACGGGGTTAATCTCAGATGCTCCGGAAGGGTAAGCAGATCCCTCAACAGATCAATTCGAATTTGGTTCATAAATTTTGTCGATATAATCAACTTAATTCCGCATTATTTCCTTCGTGTATTTCATAACTTTATTTCATTTTTTTGTCCACTCGCTCCTTCTAATGATCAAGCAAATTCAACAGCTACTAGGAAACTCCGTCGCCCTTAATCAACTCCCCGGACGCTTCCCATCAGGTACTGATGGTTAGCATTTATAAGATACTAAATATTTATTAGACTCTACTTCTATATTTAAGTATCTCCGTCTACTTCCATAGTACACAAACACTTTTTTTTCTTATGTAAAAGTTATTATAAAAGTTAATTGAAAAAAACTGTAAAATACATGTATGACGATTAAATGACAAGTGTGCAGAATACCCAATATAACAATAATGTAGCTAAATATTTTATAAGATCTTCTTGTATCTTCTAGTACCTTTAAGTATCTACTTTTACTTCGAGAGTGCATAGAAAGGTATTTTTTCTTATTTAATTTGAAAAAGTGAAGGTCCGGTAAGGGCCAAATTTGGCCTCAAATTTGAAGTACATCTGATAAAAGATTTTTAACATTTTTTAAACATTTAAGTATCTCATTCAGTCGATTCAATTAGTTTATGTAAAAGATTTGAACTGATTCAAATTCAAGCTTTGATATGAAAATCTCTCATATATGCCATAAAACGTCACTTTTTGGATGTTTTTTGTCTTAACTGATTCGCCGCATTCGTGTTAAGTCTCAATCTTTATATATGCAATGTCTTATCATCAAATACAAAATCTATTTTAACATAAGGACTGAACACAAGTGCGGCCACTTCTATTTAAGACAAAACCCGGCACAATTGCTAAAAAATTGAAGATTTCAGAAATTTGATCGACTTAATGATGCTATAGCTAGTATATGATGCATGTGCATTGTATTGTAAGAAGCAGCCTATATTTATGTTACAAAAGTATTCTATTTTTCAATAAATAGCTAAACGTTTACATTTTTAACAATTTGTTAAAATGTTATGTTTTGGGGCCAAAAAGGGGTCTTATTGGACCTACTCCTTTTATCAAAGGAAATATTAAACTGCTAAGTACATGTTGGACAATTAAATAACAAGCCTGGGGAACACCCAGTCTAACAACAAAAAATCTAAATATATTTTATGACACGCGTGTTACTCTAGAGTTTAAAATAAACAGTTGCGTCATGAGCGCATGATACACCCGTCGCTTTCTCAAAGAATAAAGTTCGATAATTTGTCAATGTCATATCAGAAATTTATAAAAAACTAAAGGGAGTTTATCTTAATAGATATAAACCAGTCACCAAAGTTTCATGAAAACTGCTCAAAGCACTTTAAAGATATTGTCCGAAAACCGGAAAATCACCCCTTTTTATGAATAAAATCGCATAACCCGGAAACGTAAAATCTAAAATTTGTAAAAATCGAAAGGGAGCTTACGTCAATAGATATAAAGAATTCACCAAAGTTTCATTAAACTGCTGACAGCTTTTTGAAGTTATTGTCCGGAAACTGGAAAATCACCGTTTTTTTAATGAATAAAACCCCATAACTTGCAAACGTTAAATCTAAAATTTATAAAAATTGAAAGAGAGCTCACGTCAATAGATATTAACAATTCACCAAAGTTTCTTGCAAATTGGTGAAAGTGTTTTTGAGTTTTGTCGTAAAAAAACTGAGAAAACCACCTTTCTAAATGAATAAAACCCCATAACTCGGAAACGTAAAATCTAAAATTAATAAAAAATAATGAAAGGGAGCTCACGTCAATAGATATAAACAATTCATCAAAGTTTCTTGCAAATTGGTTAAAGCGTTTTTGGGTTATTATCCGACATGTTGACAACGGACGGACGGACGGATGGACGAACGGACGGACGGACGGACAACGGTATATAAAGGCAACAGTAGTTAATCGATTTATGACTATTGAACAGTGGTATACTACTGTTGCCTTTATTTGTTTCTGATGAAATCTGTCTTACTACCATTGACATGATAATCTCATAGGGTTCCTTTAATGGAACAACCACTGAATGCTTCCGCATCTACATCAAATAATGATGCACTTTTCGGTATATTTTACAGGATCGAAACGTTGGATGTACTTGTCTTCTGTTTATTCTCGATTGTATATGATAAAGGGTTTACTTAATAAAATGTTTACACAAATCAAACTATATACTCACTGAAATAAAATCATGCATTTATATAATTAACTGTTTTTGTCATTCAGTGTGTCAGAGGAACTTTACGGATTGGAAAAATTCAGAGCAAATGTAAGTTACGATGGTGCTATCAATTACAACTTTCCTACAGTTATAGAAATACAATGCCAAGTTGATGTCACAAACTTTCCGTTCGATAGGCAAATGTGTCCATTGCAATTCGGATCGTGGATCTACACTGGAAACTTGTTGGATATGAACATTGAAAACGATCATGCCGATTTATCCGCACTGAAAGAAAACGTGGAATGGGAAATATCTAAAGTACCTGCAGAAAAACACATAACGAAATATTCATTAAACCCAGATCCCTTTGTTGATCTGACATACAACCTATACCTGAAAAGGAAGCCAAGATATTATGAAGCTAACATTATATTGCCATCAATAATCATTACACTTTTAGCCACCCTTGGGTTTTTACTTCCGGTGGATTCTGGAGAAAAAGTTTCATTAGAAGTTACAGTCATGCTTTCATTGACAGTTTTCCAGCTATTGGTTGCTGATAGACTACCACCATCTGACGAAGCTCGACCATTATTAGGTTTGTAAACTTCTTAGTTATAATTTTCACTTTTTTGTCTGCGATGAGGGGGTAAATTTGATTTAAAGGTTTAAGGTCAGCGAATGACAGGATACTGCATTTGAACTGGGCGAGTAAGAAAGACGAAAATAGCTATCTACTCTATTTAAGCATTGTGAGCTAGAAAGTTTAATATTTGCTGACAATCTTAATATTTGCTTTAATTCCTACTGAATCGAAACTGGAGTTGTGTTTCACATAAATTGTGTACAATAATATAACATATCTTATACATTGACGGGTGCCACATGTGGAGCAGGACCTGCTTACCCTTCCGGTGCACCTGAGTTCACCCCCAGTTTTTGGTGGGGTTCGTGTTGCTTAGTCTTTAGTTTTCTATGTTGTGTCATCTGTACTATGGTTTGTCTGTTTGTCTTTTTAGTTTTGGCCATGGCGTTGTCAGTTTGTTTTCGATCTGTGAACTTGACTGTACCTCTGGTATCTTTAGTCCCTATTTGGTATGTCATTTGTGTACATACGTTGTTTTTGAAAACTTTAAATTATGTATCTTCGTCGTAAAAATTATTTAATTTATAAGACTTATAACCTAGAACGATGCGCGCTTTTCGTCTACAGGTCTCACTAGTGTTGCTGGAAGCAAAACGGTTGGAAGCTCAAATTGATTACAAAGTTGAAGAGTATTACAAACAAAACATTCAGAAAACTGGCTAAGACCCAAATCCATGGTGCTTATAAATTCATGTAATTTTGCCCCTTTACTGGCTTTAACAAGTGGCATATTAGCCTAATATCTTTGATGAGTTATTTGCTCTTATATTAATCTTTATTGTGTGTCGATTTACTAGCCTTAGGAATTAAATGCAATTATCATTCAAACAAACTGACGAGAGTTAATATACATTTATTTCAGGAGAGTTTTTCACATTCACTCTCATACTGTGTGGTCTTTCGACCTTTGTCCAAGTGACTGTTATCAACATATATTATCGGGGTGACAGAAAAATGTCTGTCTGGATGAACAAACTGATTTTGAAACCGTTGGCAAAAATAACACTTACAAAAGCAACCCTGCTGAATCAAAAGGTAAGAAACTTTTCCTATGAATTGTTAACGCAAGGAAAACTAAACAGTTGAAAAATTGATCACGTAGTAAATGAAAATAAATTGTTGCAGAGTATTTAATAATCTGACAATTCTTAAATTTTTACAACGCGAACTCTTCCGAAAATTTAGATTAAAAAAATGATTCTTTCATGCCATGCTCTATGCTCATTTAACATGGGCAGGAATTATATTTGTCAATATCTTTATACCGAGCATAAGCGGGGTGTAAAATGTTGACAAATATAATGCCTACCTATGTTAAAATGACCACATGTCATGGCAAAATAGAATTATTTCGACTCTAATAGGAAAATTTAGAACTTTTATCCTCTGAAGCGGACCTATAATTCTTGTTCGACAGGCAGCCATTTTTATCCCCGGCGTTGTTTAAAAATACAACTGACGTTGCAATTTTAATTGTGACGTTAATCAAGCGCAGCCCATGATTTATTCGAATTAGAACATGGTTTTGTTTCCAAAGCGAAAGAAGTTCGTCATATTAGAATTCTACTTTTGTATCTAAGACACTTTTATTCATAGGGCGTATGTATTATATACATTGTAATTGTGGTAAACGGCGTCATTAACCTATAATACAAAGTCTATTTCAAAGTGTAACATATTAGAAATCGTCATAAAAGTTGAAATTTGTAATTTAATTTATTATAATAGGTCTCGAGCGTTTTTGGGAGTTAATTTTCGGAACTGTATTTATTGATTTTCAAACAATTGACCTCGAGCGTATGTGTAATGTAACAGAATCAAAAGACAATAGAGCGAAATGACTCAGGATCACTGTATTAAGCAATTTGGAATTATATTTACGTATAAGCATTCAAAGTAAAACAATGTCTTCATTGGACCAAGTCATTCATCTGTTACTTGTGAAATAAATGAGTTGAGATAAAGAATTAATTAATAATATTGTATCCAATTTTTTGATATTGAATGACAATGTGTTTGTATTTTCTAGGCACATGACGATGATAACACAACAAATGACGACTCTATAGATGATCTAGATAACACCACAAAGTGGCAAACCCTATCAATCTGTATCGACAGAGTAGGCTTGATATTGTTCATAGTTATACTAACCATTGGATGCATTGTTATTTTTACTCATTTTACATAAACTTAAGATTGAATTGCATTTTTTGTTTCACATTTCTAATTTTCAAAATAATTAATGTATCTTAAACTTATTCGTATCTTTTTTTCTTTTCTTATTGCAGTTATTTTAGACGTTCTTAAAAGATGCCATTATGTTTCACTTCAAAATATAATATTAACCCATATCTGTTTAATTGTAGAAATGATTCTTAAATGTAATTCACTAATTTTCATTGTGTGAGTGTGCCATTGTATTTTTTTTTTGTATTCTTGTCTTTCATTTTTCCTTACTAGTATGTGCTTTGTCTATAAAGTGTCTATATGCCATTTTTATCTTTATTGACAAAGTTAAAATTGAGAATGGAAACGGGGAATGTGTCAAAGTGACAACAACCCGACCAAAGAGCAGAAAACAGCCCAAGGCCACAGATGGTTATACACAGCGTCAAAATCCCGCACCTGGAGGCGGGCTTAAGCTAGCCTCTAAACAAAAATGCGTACTAGTTCAGCGAAAATGGACGTCACACTAAATTCCGAAACATATAAATGAACCAAAATTCAAACAAATATCAAGACTAACAAAAGCAAGACGCTCCTGACTTTTCTATCAAAATTTCACACTCTGTCAATCTTATTGAAAAGATATTTACGTGTGTCGCTTGTTTTTTATAAACGTCACCACGCGTTAAAAGTCCGGAATGCGTACGAACATAAACAAGTTCCCCTGCGTTGACGAATATAACGATGATTTCTGTCGAAAAATCATGATTGCAGGGTCCCTCTGAATCGGCAATTATGACGCCTTTCACTTCTGTATTTTTGATTATTTCTAAAGCTCTATAAGCATGACAGAAGACGTGAACCGAAAACGTGAAAGTATAGTACCCATCTTTTGGAACTGTAAAAACTCCTGAAATGGGATTATTTCCTACAGTGTTTGTTTGTTTGTTTTTCTTTTATTCAACAACAGTATTGCACACGCTGTTAACAATTACTCCACTGACACAGCTATCTCAGTGAAGGTCCCTGTTTCATTAGTACCAGAATCTTCAGGTAGATAAACTGCATATTGTTAGTCTTTTACAAAAAATATTAATATAACATCAATAGATAAATAATGCTATTATATTATAATAAAGTATTTATATCATCTGGCGTTATTATCGGAATTTCATAGCTTATCCGAGTTTGGGATGGTTATAACCTATTATCAATTTCCATGTGTTTCCGGGTAACGGTTATTTTAATTAATATTGGAATAGATTGAATATTAGCATTATCTACATTATTATTCAGGTAGGTAAGTTATATTTGAAAGATTGATAGTCATTCTGTAATCGAAAATAATTGTGCTGTGTACATACATCTTGCCAGATTATATAAATATTGCAATGTACATCATACATGTATGTAAGTTAAATAAATATACAAAATTCGATAATAAATTAATTATTACACAAAGTTAACATTACTAACTATGCTGACAGATCATATAATTCAAATACAACTAAACATTTTTTCTAATATGACTTTTTTCAGTGTTAAAATATTTGTTTTGTAGAATAAGCCCATTTCTAAGCTCTGTTTTAAATACAGAAAATATTAATATTCTTTGTTCTAAATTCTGACAGATAGTGTATTTTGTGAATTGAAAACATAATTACTGTGAGAAAAAAATTAATATCACAGTATTGTACATCATTTATTTTGTAACCCCAAATCAAATTCTTTAGAATTAAAATGTGTTTTCCAAGTTTAACTTTTTCTAACAGATAAAATATTTCTTCCCAAACCTTTTCAAGAAAGTGGCATGTAATAAAAAAGTGTTCATAATCTTCTGTAATACGACAGTGATTACAGTCTGAGTTTGAACAAATTTTCCATTGTCTTAATAAAACTTTGTTTGGAAGAATAAAATGTAAGAGTTTCCATCTGAACATTTTTAATTTATTTTCTTTCAAATAGTAATGAACAAATTTTAATATATTTTGAGCTTTATTCTCTATGTTTTCGAAATTTAAGTCTCTTCCATTTGTAAAAGCCTATTTGTATTTCTTTATCTTGTTCTATTAATATTTTGTAAATTTTACTTGTTTCTAATTTATCTATATTTAGTTTGAAGTTATCTTTGTCATAAACATACAAAACATTATCTGTAAGAACATTAGTTGTTCTTGAACAGTTTTCAGCTAATATATCAATCCACTCTTTTGGTATAGCTTTTTTTAATTTTAAGAATTCAGTAATCCAATTTGATATTCATCAATGATATCATTTATGTATATTATATTGCTATCTATCCAGTTTTGGAATAATATTGTTTTTTTCTGAAATTTTATCCACTGATTTCCCCAAATAACTTGTTGGCGGATTAGTCTGTAGTTATTTGGGTGATTATTTTTTTGATTATTGTTATTATTCTTAATCCAAACTTTGATTATATCAAGATAAAACTCTGGTAACAGTGTTTGTTTTTTCTGCATCATGTATAAGAGTATGGTGCCTACTCGGACTCGCTTTATTTTTACTCAAATATACATAAAGTCCAACAGAAGTTGTGATAGAGCTTTTGGTTGGATTATGTAGAGTATTCTTGAAGCTGTAATATAAACATTATCATCATAAAAAAAAGAATTTGAACAGTTTATCTTCTGTGATATAATTCTAACATAATATTAACATTTACACCTTGCCAGCATATTCTTAATACGATTATTATATTGTTCAATGCAGTTCATATGAACATGATGAATGGAAAACAGCGATTGCTATTTTTGTTAGTGCATTGTACATTAAACTGCTATTCACATATGACATATATTCAGATGGAAACCTAAAGATACGAAGGAAAACCAGAGACAAAGGGACAACTTCAAAAATTGCTAATAAGATACAAGACAAAGCGAATATTAAAGATGGAATCAGTTCTATCTTCTTTTAAAATCTGTCAGAAACTGTCAGGTAAACTATTCCAGCGCATACTTGAGAATAGTTCTTCTTTCATCTTTAGGATAGTCGTTCTACTATAGAAAAAATTACAGAATTTTTACTCTAGGTCAATTTTAGACAGTCCTCTACTTTATAACTGATTCTGACAGTTCTATCCTAGAACATATTTAGAAAGTTCTACCCTATAACTGATTCGATTCTGACAGTTCTACTCTAAAACTGATTCTAGCAGGTGAAACTCTTCCAGGATGAACGGTTTCTACTGTCTAAAACAGATATAATACAGATTATTCTGACAGTGACAGGTGCCACATGTGTATCAGGATCTGCTTACCCTTCCGGAGCACCTGAGATCACCCCCGGTTTTTGGTGGGGTTCGTGTTTAGTTTTCTATGTTGTGTTTTTGTGTACTATTTTTTGTCTGTTGGTCTTTTTCTTTATTAGCCATGGCGTTGTCAGTTTATTTTCGACTTATTAGTTTGAATGTCCCTTTTGTATCTTACGCCTCTCTTTTATTAAGAAAAGTTAGAACTGATCCCGACTATATGTTTAAAACCAGTGTATATTAATGTTCAAATAGTAGTGTCAGAAATAAGAATAAAATCAAATAAAATACTTGTAGAGTATAGCTAAAACTATAATGAATAATTATTAATAACACAGTGAACGGATACATTTTTTCATTATACCAGGAATTATAAAAATGTAGTACTAATCGATAATAGGAAGCTAAAGTTATTGAAAACATGTGAAAACGCATAAAATAGAAATAAGATATATTGTCAAAATTGTTCTTAAATATTTGACATCGTGTGAAACTTTCCAAAGAATTTGCCATACCAAACTTGATTTTTTCGTCATGAACTATGTTGTGTACGCGAATAATACAGCAACAGAACAAAATGAAAAAAAACCCATGAAACAGAGTGTCCATACAGCGGGCGTTTGAACAAGAGAGACAGAGATAGAGAGAGAGACAGACAGACAGAGAGAGAGAGAGAGAGAGAGAGAGAGAGAGAGAGAGAGCATGCAGTATTTAACAAAAATAGGTTTCGTTAACATGTCATGCTGTAAAAGCTGTTTTTTTAATATGTAAAATGTAAAATTACCTCGTTTTGAACTATCCTTTAAACATTTACTTCCAGAGCCTGTCTGTTTGATTTTATTCTTATAGACAGTAGCATTCATTTTTCCAAAATCTTTTTCTAATTTACTTTCTTCTCTAGCAATGATACCGAATTGATTTGTTAGTTTTTGCAAATATTTAGATTACTGCTCCAGCTGATTGGTCAGTTTGTTGTTTCGTTTTTCAACATCGTTAATTATTTCCTCCAAATGGTATATACGACGGGTTTTCACAGTCATTTCTTCTTCTAGAGTGAACAGTTTATGCTTAAGATCTTCTTCCATTTGCAGAAATCAAATTTGCAGATCGTTCTTTAATCGTATGAATTGTTCATTCAATTTGTCCTCGATTTGTGACAATGAATCGTTCTGTATATCCCTGTTAGTATTCGAATATGCAGAACATGTTTTCAGAATAATAACTGTAATAATTAAATTCCATGCCATTTTCAATTTCATGGCGACAAAAACTACGAAATTAATAGAAATTGAAATGAACAAACTTTCATCAAACAACCAACTTTTCCAAACGTTTCTTATTTTCATAGTTAAGGACGGCTCGTCTTTACAGCACTATACTTCCGTAAAAATGATAAGTCATAACATTTGCCATAAAGTTTGCAGCAGGCAAATCCTGTGTTCTGTTGATAAGCGTATATCCTGGCACTAAGCAAACCCCGATATTCATTTCATGTCCTAAATTTCTGCCTTATGAAGATATATTAAATTAAAACACCTGTTTATTTAATTTTATTATATATACCTCATCTGTTTGACAGAAGTTAAAATTAAAGAATGGGGCTAACTTTTTCATTTTTAATACCACATGCATAAGAAAAGTTCGTACGAGAACCTCACATCGTGTTTTTTTTTCGTATCTACCTTTTTTTTGACATTTGATGACCAAATGGGCATATTAAATTTTCACTGTGTATAATTTTCGCTGATAATACACGCGAACAAATCACTGTTCTGTACTGTTAAAGAAATAAACAACAAACAATTGATTGACTTGATTGACTGACAGTTAATAGATCCCAAACAAATCCTACAAACTAAAACACGTCTAGTTCATGAAAGAAAATTATGTTCATTTCGGCACCTTAAAGTTTGATCATTTTTGTAAACAGATAAAATTGAGAATGGAAATGGGGAATGTGTCAAAAAGACAACAACCTGACCAAAGAGCAGAAAACAGCCCAAGGCTACCAATGGGTCTTTAACACAGCGAGAAAATCCCGCACCCGAAGGCGGGCTTCATCTGGCCTCTAAACAAAAATGTGTTCTATTTCAGTAAAAATGGACGTCACACATAAATGAATTAAGATTAAACAAACATACAAAACTATCAAAGGCCAGGGGCTTCTGACTTGGGACAGGCGCAAAAATGCGGCGATGTTAAGCATGTTTTGTGAGATCTCAACCCTCCCCCTATACCTCTAGCCAATGTAGATTAAACAAATACACAGCAATACGCACAGTAAAACTCAGGTAAAAAGAAGTCTGAGTCTAATGTCAGAATAGGTAACAGAAGAAACTAAGCAAAATGACAATGATATATAAATTAACAAAGGACTACTAGCAGTTACTGACATGCCAGCTCCAGACCTCAATTAAACTGATTGAAAGATTATGTCTTCGTCATATGAAAATCAAGTACAATCCCTCCCGTTAGGGATTTAGTATGATACCATCATAGAATATATGAGAAGAACATAACCAGTACCATGCCAACAACTGGTTTTAGAATAAATGTGTTTAGAGCATTTTTAAAGCATGTTTGAGCAAACATCCGTGTAAATATGATTTATTTCTATTTTAGTTTTACGTTGAAGCATTCAGGTTATGACAACAGTCAATAGATAATATTTATTTGCCATGTCACTGATTGCTGTGTTGTCTAAAGGTATAACATGTATGGGTATCGAATTAAGTTATTATGAAAACAATATAGTGAATAAATAACCGCCAATATTGTAAAAGTATGGTGGCCGGATGCGGCCATATCACCTTTTCGCGTTTTCGCGTTTTCTCCTTTCACTTTACAAACGCAAAATCGCGAAATCGCGAAATCGAGA